GTCGTTTCTACGGTTTTTGACCGAGACTGCGATTTTTGGCCAGCTTTCGGATCATTTAATTTCCACGACCGAATCGCTCGCGAGAGAAATTCCTAAAATCCGAAAAATGAATACCCGAAAATCCGAAGATCTGAGAATTGAAATATATCGTATCTTTTCTAAGATCCGTGTTTCTAAAATCCAGAAACTCGGCGTCGCAAGAAATTCGGGAGATTAGCGCGGAGGAATTCGAATCCCGAGCAGAGTAAAACACCTTCATTTTGTCGCTCCAAGAGTCCCAGACACCTCGATAAGCCGGGAGAGAGACAAATGAGACGGAAAGCCAAAGAAACGAGTCTCCGCGCAACAATCCGCATTGAAACCGGCGCGCTCGGAGTCGCGCGTACTTTATGCTCCGTTTCAATTAAACCAAAAACAACCGGCGGAAGAAGGAGTAACAAGTTCGGGGAATCCGGAACAATCGTCGCACATTCCATCCCAGTTCACCGGCAGTGTCTCGGACGCATCCGAGAGAAAAAGGAAGACGAAGTGGCCGGTGACCCAAACCGACCGCCGAGCTGCTCTTTTTCCTCGTTCTCCGCCCCTTGAGGGGGCGTCGAGACGCGGATCGAGCCCGGTTAAAGGCGCGTTTCCACTCCTGGATCTCCTATTCAACCGTAATTAATTACTAGAAGCAATAATCCAAGTTTGAATATTCTCGATCGAAAAAGTCCTTCTTCTTTTGTTTAAAGTGTCGCTGAGTTGTATGAAACGAGGGTCATAATAAAAGCAATATTTATTCTAGGTAAAGGGGTTAAAGATCACACCCTTGAGGGGTCGTCGAGACGCGGATCGAGCCCGGTTAAAGGCGCGTTTCCACTCCTGGATCTCCTATTCAACCGTAATTAATTACTAGAAGCAATAATCCAAGTTTGAATATTCTCGATCGAAAAAGTCCTTGTTTTCTTTAACGTGTCGCTGAGATATGTGAAACGAGGGTCGTAATAAAAGCAATATTTATTCCAGGTAAAGGGGTTAAAGTTCACACGTATCTTGCAACTACGAAAGCGTCGAAAGAGTCGAGAAATTCAGGGGGGACGGTTTTGCGTGGATGAACGCAGCTTTAACGCGTTGCTCCTTTCTTCGATTTTTCTTGCGAGTCCTTTTTCCGGTGCTGCTCGTCTCCTTTACACCTTAATTCCCGCTAGTGGTCGCGCCGCTCTCCTCCTAAGCGCCTATTCTTCCGGGGTGGCGCTTAATTAACGCCGTCGTTTCAGCGAGATTTCCGGGTCCTCGCTTCGTCTTTCGCCTCTTTCCGTTCCGTTTCGTTCGCGGCCTTTTTAATCCCCAGAGGCCGAGCCCCGGAGAATTTATAAGAATTAATTTAATATGTAGTGGCGCGCGCCGAGGGTGATTCCTTGCGAAAAATCCTCGCCTCGATCGGGCTTCGAGCTTTTAATTGCTGCCCCGGGGGCCATTCCGAGGGCCGGGAAAGTCGAGCGGAGTTCAACGACTTGACACTCAATTAGGTACAGGGAACGACGCCGAACCGCGAAATTGAATGTCCACTTTTTCGTTTTTTTGCAAACGAGTCTAATTGGAAATGCTGGATTGCACGTTCGACCCAATAACCGTGTCATTGATGGATCATTTTTACGAGACGATCGTTGCTTCTCTATTTTTTCACTGTATCGGGAAATTCGGCGCTGCAGTTTTCTCGATACAACGCATTGAAGCCTCGATGAACCGTAAGCTGGAAAATTAATTTAATTTGAAACGTTTCTCGCGTCAAAAATCGTAAAGAGAAGACGGAGAAACCCTCTTATCCGATATTCAACCTGATTCAAAGTAATCGGTAATAAACGGAGAATAATCTGGACGCGAATGATTCGTTTCAGTTAAAGTTAACGAAACTTAAACTTCGTAAAGTTTTGCAACTACTTGCGCCGGCATTGCGAAGATAAGTTTCAGTTTCGAGCTCATAAATTTACGGAATCAAAGCGGACTTTGCGCGCGAGCTTTAAAGGCCTCGAAGAGCGATATACATTTTTCTTAAACTCGATCAATCCAATTAGGAGGCTCTCCTTGTTGCACCAAAAATATCTAGCTGGTTTTTTTTCGCCCCTCGATGACGACTATGCTCGTCGTTCGCAGTGAAAAGGGGAGTCGCGAATTAAAGAAAAATTCCACGATCGAGTTTTCCCAGAGGTCCGTTTCCACGGGTCGTCGGTGAGCTTTCGAGGCGATTGTGCGCTCCGTCTCGACGCTCAAAGTTTTCCAAAGCCGAAGGATTAAACTTAGGGGTGCCCACGCGACTTACACCTGCCCGATCGACGATTTATTCCGTCACGGTGCTCGATCGCGAACTTCCACCCTATCGTTCCACTCGAAACCTTCGGTTCCTCCCCTTCCATCACCCCGTCCCCCCTCTCTCTGCCCAAGCCGTGCACCCTTTCGCCTTCTTTGTTCCCGTTTCACGGGCACTCGAAAATTCAAAAGCGGTCGCTCGAGCACGCGAAAGCACCTCGCGAACCACGAGAGCCTTTCTGAGCCCACTAAAAAGAGTTCCGGGGAAAACAAATTATAAATGTTGATCGAAGCTCCCCGGAGCAATCGAGGGGAAACAGTCCGGAGGCTCCGATATATTCCCAAACTTTTCGAGGAGGTTTTACTTGGATTTCGCGACGGATATTTCTTAATAATTTCGTCGTACGAGCCCTTTAATTTTAAACGAAACGTTGGCGCGATGTGTCTGTCTCGTTGGACGTTCACGAGGACGGTGAGGCGAAAATTTAATAATTAAAAGAGAAGTGTAAAGCGACTTTTTTAGAATATTTCTACCAACGTAACGATGTTCTTCCAAGAGCGAGTAAAAAATTTGAAAGCTGCATCGTTCGTGATGAAAAATCGCTTGGTGCCCGAGGGGTTGGATCGTCTTCGAGAAATCGCAGTCGGTTGATGCCAATGAGTCGTATCGCGCTAGCAGTATATCACCTGGGCGAGGGAGGGACGAGGAAAACGGGGAAATAAAAAATCACGATCCCTCCTCCATCGGTCGGCCGAGCGAGAGGAAGAGGGGACCCTTTAACGTTTTACGAACTTTCGGAAACGGCTCTTCTTCGGTTTCAATGGCCCTTCTTTAAGCTTTTTCATCCGGGAGAAAGGAGGGAACGAGGGTGGAAGCGGAGCGGAGCGTTTCGACGGGACAAAGGGCTCGCGGCACTTGCTCGCGAAAATACGGTTTCAGGAGGATTCGAACGGATGTGCGGGCACCGGGCCGCGCCGGTTCCGGTGTCGGTCGGCCGAACGTAAATCTAATAATTTCTATGTAATTCACCGCGGCTGACCGCACTTTGACCAACACTCGTTCCACTTATCCCCCGTGTCCGAGCGATCCTGTGGCCGCGGGCCATGCAGGGGATCCACGCTTCGCTCAAAACCAACGCTAATAACGTTTTCAACTGTTGTCGAAACGAGGTTACCGAAAGGCCAATCCTTTCCGCCAGTGCCTCTCAAACACCAACCGTTTCACGACCATCTCAGCTCTGGGAACTTTTTTCAGAAACAACGGAGACACTATGACAAAGGACCCCGCGCAGATCTTATGGAAAATGGCCCTCGGTTAAATTAGCTGAACTTTTGATACGATGTAGTTCGTTATGTCTTGATGAAAAGTTCCAATGGGCCCAAGCTTGTAAATTGAACAGTTTCCGAGATACGGGGGATCAGAAGTCAATAATAGTGCACCTTATTCTTGGCTATCATGTTTGAGGATATTTGAGTGCAAGAAGCACTGTTGTACACTGTCCATTTATTTGACCTCTTAAAACTCAATTTACGACCTTTGGGCCCATTGGAACTTTTCATCAAGAGATCATGAACCACATCATATCAAAAGTTCAGATAATTTAAATGGGGGACATTTTCCATGAGATCTGTGCGGGGTCCTTTTTGGGGCACTGTCCAATCATGAGAAGAAAATGTCTGTTCTCGAGTCTTTTCGAAATAAATTAATATTCCGGATGGAGGGTAGTGAGAATTGAGATTTGTGAGAACTTAGTTTATAAACTTATTGCACACGATGATGAGCGATGTATGATGTGTTTGGTTGACGATGTGAGAATGTAGTGAATGATGTTTGGTTCGACTCTGGCCTCCTCCCTTCCAAACACCCTTGCAACCATGTTCTTGAAAAGAGGTAGATATCACGTCTGAACGAAGGCGTCACTTGAGAACGTTGTCAACTTTCCCCAAATGTGCAGTTAGGGGGCGCGTAGAAATGGGGAATGTTTAAAAATTTGTCCTGGAGGTTTGCATATTCGGTTTAATTAGACGACTGCAGCCGGCTTAATCGGCAAACAGCAACGAGACTCGACGCGAGGAAAGAGACTTATCGGAAAGTTCATCCGGAACCCGAGGCGGCCGAAAAGAGACGGACGGAGGAGACGAGCCGCGGCTCTTCTTCGTAACTTCGAATGCTAATGCAATCGCGAAAGTTTCATCGAACTTCTTCGCAGAATATAACGTCGCTAAACTGGATACGCTCGGAAGGGGTAAAAAGTAGAAAGAAAAAAAATGAACGCCTAAAGTGAAAGAAAAGAATCCACGATCGTTCGAAACATCCCGGAGCAGCCGACGAATAGCTATAAACCGAGTCGCGATTAAGTTTCGCGCGACTTTCGCCAACGAGATCCATCGACCAATCGATATTTTATTCCCGAACGGGCGAGGCCTCGTCGACGAGCGCGGATCGATCGACCAAGATTTATTTTTTTTTTTCTCCCAACGGGTGATTAATTGATAGCCATCTATCTTCATTTGATCCTCGTTAGTGTCGCTTTTCCGGCGAAAAGGTGAGTTAGTAACGGTGGGGAGGGGGGAGAAAAAAAATTGAACGAAAAAGGAGCAAAAACAACGGGAAACGAGAATCGATCGAGTATCGCGGCGATTAATCCATGAAACGAATTACCGTTTCCGGTACACGCAGCTGCTCTACGATCTTTTTTTCCTCTCGGTTGCAGAAGCTCGCCAAGGATGAAGGCCAGGAGGATACTGACGATCGTCCTCGCGATCCTGATATCGACGATAACGTTCCCCGATTGCGTCGCGGAGCTCTATACCGCGCTGGCGGATATGGAGGAACTACTGGAAACCGAGGCGGTCCTCATAGACACGCTCAACGGTTACATTAAAGCTCAGGAGCATCGTCTGGCTACCCTCAGAAGGTGAGTACAGCGAGTCTTTACATTAGAAACTTGATTCTAGCGATTTAATGTAATATATATCGGAGCAACCAGTACATTGGCCATTTCTGTAGGACGACCAAACCTCTGTCTCCTCATTCTATGCATTTTTTCTTTTCCTTAAATCTTCGAACTAGATAGACTAACAACTGTTAACACGAAAGAATGTTCAACGTAAACCTACGAGTCCTTTGCAGGGATTCTTTCCGCTGGGAAACTCTTTTAATTCTGTTCTTTCCTTTTTCGAATAACTTCATTTTTTCAAATATTCCGGTAACCAGACAACTAACTCGACAACCTTCAAAGGGCACATATCGAACGTCAACGCCAACCAGGCGCACTTTTTGCGTTTCCGGACGACATTCTTTGCATCGATTAAATTTAAGTATCGATTAGAGCCAACATAACTTTATTTTCAATGGATTCAGAGATATAGATACTAAGTAGACTATCTAAAACGCAGCGTAGAAAAGGGAAGAAATTTTTTCGAGACGTCTGCGATCTTAAATAGCGGAGAGAGGAAGGAAAATCGAGGGTAGGAGTTTCTCACGCGAGAGGAGAGACTTCCCATGACCGGTGTGAAAATGTTTTACCGTCGAAGCGCGAGGTTTGCTCAACACCGAGGGACCCGGAGACCCGTGACCGAGTCGTCTCTGTATTTTCTTCGCGCTCTTACGTTTCCAATAAATTTCGACGAGTCTGGGCGTCCTCTCGAGCCAAAGAGAGTCGTCCTGGCGGTTTCTCGTTCGCTGCGCGTTCCGGATATGAGAGATCCAAGTCCTTTGAGTGGTTGTCTTTGACGCGCTGATATCTCTGCGGGCTCCAGGGACCGTCGGGTGTTTGCGTTTGAACGAGGCCCGGGAAATAATTAACGGCCGGAGCACTCGACGACGCACGCGCTCGCACGGCGTGAACCAAAATCCCCGGAGCGTTGAAAGAAACCTAATTCGGTCAACACAGGGGACGGCCGGATGGATTTTTGTATTTACGGCTTTACGGATTTTTGCTCCTACCCGCCGCGCTCTAAAAAGTTAATGGAACACCGGCCCGGGGATTCGACGGTTTTAATCTCTCGCGAATCAGGGCAAATTGAAACGCGGCAATGTAGCCCCGCGATTTTTCCACGGATACGCCGAGAATCGTTTACATTTTCCTCGCGTTTGTTTGCGGCGTCCTTTCACAAAACGAATCGCTAATCGTTCTAATTTAACGGTGGATCAAAACTAATCCATTTTTAATAATCGTTAAAAACATTGCTGCGACAAAGACGCAGATTTTCGCGGATTCGGTTATTCCGAACTGATTGGAGGATGCTGTTGGAAACAGACCGATATTAAATTTTATGTCACGGTATCGCTTTTCGATAAAATTCTCGACAATTTTTAGATTCTTCGATTCGGTTGCCCCGGTATACCAGATTCAATGGACCCTATAAAGGTATACGAGTAGACCTTACACATTATGGACTGAAAGTGGACCAATCTGACTCCCATAATCACCGGAAAATTTTTCAGCAAAGTTAAAAACTTACAAATCGTTCTAAAAGAATTATTTTTAGTTACAGGGGTTAATTAGAATCATTTTTGGTCAATAGACATACCCTCGACATTCTAACCACTTTCGAGAAAAAAATTCGAGTAGGTGTGAAATTTTTCGACAAAATTAAATCATTTCAAATCGCACTAAAAAAAATATTTTTAGTTGTAAGGGTCAATTACAATCATTTTTGGTCAATAGGCATATCCTCGAAATCCTAACCACTTTCCAGAAAAAAATTCGAGTAGGTGTGAAATTTTTCGACAAAATTAAAAAATTTCAAATCACTCTAAAAAAAATATTTCTAGTTGCAACGATCAATTACAATCATTTTTGGTCAATAGGCATACGCCCGAAATCCTAACCAGTTTTGAGAAAAAAATTCATTACTGAAAATATGTCTGACCATACGTACACCTGTTCTCCTTAAATTTTTCGGCGAAAGAAGAAAATTTCTAATCGTCTTGAAAAAAATATTTTCGGTTGCGGGGGTCAATTACAACCATTTTTGGTCGATACATGTACCCTCGAAATCCAACGCATTTTCGAGAAAAAAATTCGAGTAGGCGCAGAGATTTTCATTCCGTTAAAAAATAATAACTGGAATTAAATTTTCTGTCTCACTTCCTCTCGTGTTCATTTTTGTAACCTGTTAGTAATATTTCGAGCGACACGAAAATGGTAATGGGAGTTCTGGAGCCCCAGAAAAATGGGTCGAAAAAATACATTGGGTGAAAGGTCTACTCTACTTATACTCCGTCGATACCTTTTATTTTTCATTATTTACCCCGTAAACGAACGATTAATCGAAACAACGCGACGCTTTCCTTTCAATTTTGCCGCGCCGTCAGCGCGACGATCCGCAATTTCGTATTCGCGTCGCGTCCCCGTCGATATTTCCTCGGCCCCGGGGTTGTGGACGAAGAGAAAAAAAGGAAATAGCCGGCAAGAGCGTAAAAAAGATTTCCCCGACGCTTTCTTCCTCCGGAGGCCGAGCAGCAACCCTTATTCGTCGGCCGACTTTCTTCTTCCAGGGGCTCATTTTTTCTCTATCTTCCCCGGGGTGTGATTTGGCAGGTTGCCCGGCCCGATACCGATGCCTTGGCCATTTCGAGGGTGCAACGGGGAAATAAGAGGGCCGGGGGGTGGCTGGCGAAAAACGTTAAGAACGTGGCTTGGACCGACGCGGCGCCGCACCCTATCTTGAATTTCCCGAGGAAACCGGCTCCGCCGCGACGATTCTCGTTCTCTTCCTCGCAGGTGCAATATTTCCGTGGCTCGGGGCCGTCCCTTCTACTTTTAATCCGCTAACGGTGTAATTACTTTTCCCGAGGAGCAAAGAACGATACCATCTACTCAGTTTCTTTCTCCTTTCTCGAGGCCGGAAATAATCGGAGACGTTTATCAATCGCGCCTCGCGATACCACTGATTAGAACGGTAAACTCATTTCGGTATTAGGAAATATCTTCTATATAATAACATTTAAAATTCTATCCAACGCGTTTCGAATCGATGGATGGCCGATCCATTAAAGTTTTCGAAATGATTATCCACCCCCCGCGTATTGAAACGTGTACGCGATACGATACGTGGAGCGCGAGAACAGTCGGTTCGATTGATAAGATCGCTTGGAACGGGGAGTCCTGTCTTGGAGGCAAAGTACTTCGTAAAGTTGTTGATAGAACGCTAGCGGTGATAAAGTCGAATAATGTTCTTGACATGCTACTTTATACCGTTCGGGGAACTGAAGGTTTGACGAGATCGGTTATTGCTCGGTGGCGAGAGAAGCGCGACGATGCGGTGCGTAACGCGGTGACACGTGCAGGTATACGCCGCAGGTTTACCCAAACCCTGGCCCAAAATGTTCACGTTTCGATCCAGTGATAGTTAACACTTTACCAACGGCCTGATTTACGCCTGACAAACCACATATACAGGGTGTTCGGCCAACCCTGGGAAAAATTTTAATGGGAGATTTTAGAGGCCAAAATAAGATGAAAATCAAGAATACCAATTTGTTGATGCATGCTTCATTAAAAAGTTATTGACGTTTAAAGTATCTCTATTCACCGAAAATAATTGTAATTGCCCCCGGCAACCGAAAATAATTTTTTCATAACGATTTGAAATTTTTTAATTTCGACGAAAAATTTGTTCATCTTCCTGAATTTTTTTCTCGAAAATGCGCAGGATTTCGAGGGTATCTCTATTCACAGAAAATAATTGTAATTGACCCCCGCCACCGAAAATAATTTTTTCAGAACGATTTGAAATTTTTTAATTTCGACGAAAAATTTGTTCACCTTCCTGAATTTATTTCTCGAAAATTCGCAGGATTTCGAGGGTATCTCTATTCACCGAAAATAATTGTAATTGACCCCGGCAACCGAAAATAATTTTTTCAGAACGATGTGAAATTTTTTAATTTCGACGAAAAATTTGTTCACCTTCCTGAATTTATTTCTCGAAAATACGCAGGATTTCGAGGGTATCTCTATTCACAGAAAATAATTGTAATTGACCCCCGCAACCGAAAATAATTTTTTCAGAACGATTTGAAATTTTTTAATTTCGACGAAAAATTTGTTCACCTTCCTGAATTTATTTTTCGAAAATTCGCAGGATTTCGAGGGTATCTCTATTCACAGAAAATAATTGTAATTGCCCCCGGCAACCGAAAATAATTTTTTCAGAACGATTTGAAATTTTTTAATTTCGACGAAAAATTTGTTCATCTTCCTGAATTTTTTTCTCGAAAATGCGCAGGATTTCGAGGGTATCTCTATTCACAGAAAATAATTGTAATTGACCCCGGCAACTGAAAATAATTTTTTCAGAACGATTTGAAATTTTTTAATTTCGACGAAAAATTAGTTCACCTTCCTGAATTTTTTCCAAAATGATCTCGTTTTCGAATATAATAATAAATAAACAAAGTCCGAATCGCGTTTCATAGTTCTAATGTTGGTTTTGGACTCGTTAAGCCCCTAGGGCTAGAACCCTTTACGAATATTATGCACAGTATTACATATTACGTATCATAATAGAACCATAGTCTACTTCGAAATAGTTTCATTTACCCTGTAACGAGAGTACTGTAATTTCAGTGAATGTTACGAGTATTTAAAAAAAAAACAGAGTAAAAATGTAATTCCTCGTATATTTTTTAAATAGAAATCACCGAATGACAAAAGCAATTGTATTTCGAAAAAGGCTGCCACGAATTTTTTAATATCGTGTTTAAAATATCTTGATCGAAACGCGATTCGATTATGCTTCATTCGGGTCGAATTGCGGCCCCGCTGTACGCGCGCGCTTAGAACAGAACGGTGGGGGAAATTTCGCTTAAATTTTCTGTATAAACAGCGAACGATGAAAGAGGAAAAAATTAAACGCTCTTAGAGAAAAGAAATTTTTCAATTCGCTAGAACAAGCTACGCTTTCG